CACCCTTTCTTTCAGCCTTCGTAACCATTTCAGTCTATCGGAGATGAATCCTTTTCTGAGGGCAGCACGCATCATAGCAATAGTTGAGGTAATTGGTAGTGTTCTCACAGAAGACTAAAATATCACGATCGAAGAGTTGTTGTAAGTCCGTACCACCAATCATGGATTTTATTTCCATCAAATTGGTCAGACTGTTTTGTCGTAAACGTGTCTGACGTGCATCGTTTTTAATCAGGATTTTTTGCTTTCATATACCATCAGACAGTGATCGGAATTGCCTACTGGTGCACGCTTGAAGACACGGAAAAAAGATGGTTCGTTAACAAAAACGTGGTCCAAGGAGGCAGTATTTCGAACGGAAAAAGTAACCATGTTCTGAAGGGAAATAAGTGTGTAAAAGCTCACATCAGATCTGTTGAAATCGCCAGCAACGATGAATACAGATGTGACAGATTTTTCCAAAATGATTGAATAGAATACATCCATGGAGGGAGACAACTCACTAGAAGTACAGTCAGGAGTGATGTATAGGTTTGGAAAGATAATCAAAGAGTGACGCAGGAGAAAACGTGGTTTACATTATACAGAAATACAAGAAATGTTTTGTGTGCAGTGAGTGAACATGCATTTGGTGGAGTTACACCACAACGGGCGCAGATAAATGATGATGCCTTCACCTTCAGTTTTCCTTCCTGTAGATATATCTGCTCGAAATAATTGGAAGCCTTTGATCTGAAACGATTATTCCTCGACGGATTATTGTAATCAAGATTCTTGGAAAAGTAGAAGACAAATTTTGGAGTACTCACCGTAGTGAATCAGAAGACCGACGTTCGATAGCTTAGAATGAATTGAGCAAACATTCGACGACAAAATGATCGGAAATCAATACTCTTTAGGTTTCGGTGCTCATGTGCAACTTTCCAGCCAGCCCAATGTTTTTTCCGTTTGCCATGTGAATTTTGAGTGATCCTTTCAACCTTGTTTCCCAAAAAACGAGAAAAAGAACGTGAGGACGGTTCATTGATATACTCCACAGATACTCGTACGGAAATTAAACTAAACGTGTTGTAGTTTATCACTGAGGTCACCGTAATTGATACAAAAGTATATCCAGAGGTTGTGTGATGAAAAAACCAAAGCTCCAGCGATAACCAAAAGTGAGACGACCAATTTAAAGGGCCCCGCCGAAGCGTTTGGTCATGAAATTTCTGCTAATAGTGGTTCTAATGGCGAACCGATAGCTATTCCTTCTTTCTGTCTATAAATCGTACCATTAAACTGAAATTGTATGTTATATGTGCATAGATAAAGAAGCCTCTTGAATGATTGTTCTGTTATGTCTTCCACAGGCAATTGACGATTCCACACACAACCTACACTCAAGACGAAATATTTCTTATGGAATAACCAGTTTTCACTTTCGAGGTATTCGTGGTATTGTTTTACATAGATATCCCAAGCGGAATTTTTATAGTTTATCCATTAACTGATCCTTAATCACTCCTGGAGGCGGATAACAGAGTAATGATATTATCCAAGTAGGGATAAACTTGCATGTTACGATTTGCCAATTGGAAGACATTTTCTGGTTTTACCCCCAGATTTACATTGTACGGTCTGATTGATCTGATCTAATTTCTTTGCACTGGTCTTCGTGTTGTAGACCTATCAGTGAATTTAAATCATGGGTTACAATACATGAGAAAACGCAATTTGAAATCTTTCTTGCTCAACGGAGACAGGCTCACTTGTATGTTAATCTTCCTTTTTGTGTAAAAAATGTTATTGGGTATAACCGGAAATGCACTTCAAGGATTTGTCCGAGACAGGAATTGGTTCAAATTTCTGAGGTTGAAGCTGCTTGATCTGAAAAGTCAGACTCCGGAAAACGTGTTCGGTATTTGGATTGAGCAGAAATACCCATCCAGTTAGCTGATTTCGAAGATGCAGTGTTTGACGGTTCGCACCATGAAACTGTCTACGCTCTCACCAGAAGCACATTTTTGCTATACCGTGTTCCGTGTTTTGTCTGCCTTTATATAAAAAATCAGCAATCAAATGTGATCAAGTTTGTCATATTTGTTTTGATGCTAGAAAATATATCATATTAAGTTGTTGCAGATGTTCAAACTTTTACCCGTTCTCCGGATCAGTATTAAAATAAAGTATTATTTTTTCAGTAGTCAATAAACACGACTGTTGCGGGTTGGATGGATCAAACAGATTTCAATTCAATGATTTATCCACCTATTTTGTTGGTTTTTCAGCGATAATCCAGATGTGGACGTACTGGGATCGAATTTGTACAACAATTTTGTCGGTCGATATCGACATGTTTCCGGCGATCATGATGGCCGTGCACACCAACTACGCGCCTCTGTCACACCGTCACGTACAATGCCTTCCAGTGCCGCACTGCTACCTCAGACTGCACGAAAAGTCGACTGTGAGTACACAACAGGACCACGCCTATTTCTCTCTCTCTCTCCATGACTATGCATGAATCTATAGACTTGATCTCAAACTATTTGACTAATCATGGGTACAGCTACTGCGATTTTAGAAAAGCATTTTCTTGGGTTTTGGACGAAGTAGTAAGTAGATTCGTCGGTTTTGATCATATGTGGTCGATAAAACTCTTACATGATCCTCTAAGTGATCTAGTGAGACAAAAATTATTATACTCACTTCGTCAAATGATGTGATCGACTGCATTCACATCGAAGGTGAGCACGTCATTTTCGACAACCTTTGGNAGGATACACAAACAAAATTGAGCAATGGAATACCATTCGGCATTTCTGCTTACAACATATATAACAATAGAAATATTAGTACCACTTTGCAAGTGAATAAGGGAAAAATCTGAAGTGCTATAAACAAGGTGGCTCTTTATCCAACTTGTATTCAAAAGGGATCGTAAGAAGCCTGATATTGATCGACTGGACCAGTCAAGTTCTTCGACGTTGTCTGTTTACCAAGTGGATGTAATCGTGCATCCGCAAAAAAGACAGGCTTGAAGTGAAAAATGATGGCTGCAAAATAAATGTGACTGTGTCAACGGATTGCACCGTCAATATAGTTCTGGTGTATTGGAATGGGGTGCACATCTATTGCTCACCAATGTTTTCCCAATGCTGATAAATGTACACGGTTCTGCACCGTCATTCTCCGAATGATCATCACTCACATTACCCTCGTCAATTAAACCGGTACCTATACACGATAAATTATCCACTTACTCAAGTGCGTTTAATGCAGTTACCCTGACATTTACAACTTTAACAAGCCTAGCCGACATCCACATTCAGAACTCGGATAATAATAACGGCGAACATTGACAATGATTTATCACACACGATAACTGTGACACTGTTCAGGCCTGAGTTCCGGAACTTCTATCACAGCTCTGTTATTCACGCTCAAACAAATCAGCTGTAAATTGCAATCTGACCCAAGGAACAAATTATTAGGAGTGGTTTCAATGGGTGCAATGTCAGATTTACAGATTGTCGCTTGATTTGTGTGCGTATATATGTAGGCATACTAACGCAATAGACCTAAGGGAATGGCCACATTTGGGTGAATTAAATGTATCATGTTATCTGAGTGCTTTTATGAAATTCAAATAAAACTAATCAGTACAAGTTGTCCATGTGTGCAATGCATCAATTCACAGTAAATACACATTACTGAAATCCTGATTTATTACTGACAGAGTAACCCTTTTACTTGCATCGAATTTGCAAAGCTATGCAATCAATGAGAGGTTGGTGTTAGCATTGTGAGAGATATCACGGTCTAACAAACGTATCCCCCGACTTGCTTCGGTAAGTGGGCGGAGCAGCAGACGTACGCTTAAGTAAATCGAGTCGTGTGACTTGAGCAGTCAAATCACAAATGACTGGTTTTAATGCCCGTTAGGTTTGGTATCCGAACATTTGATGGTTGGGAAGTACTCCTTAAAAAACAGAAACGTAGATACACCCGATTGGGCTAAAAATTGTAAACTGAAAAGCATTGTGCTGGCAATAGATCGCACTTGTGCAAATTAGCGAAGAAATTATCCAGTGATTGAACCCAGTACAATCATCACATTTTTGAGGCGGAATTTCTGAAAAACAGGTCTTTGAAGTAGCGGTAGTGCATCTGTGGAGGTGTATTTTGTGCCTTAAATCAAATGCATAAAACTCTATCAGTTGTTCAAAAAAAGACAGAGAGAAGCTTTCACGGAAACTTTTTTTTCAGTGCTAATTTTATAAAACAAACTTCTTTGATAGTTTTGACGGGAATGACAGGTGGAAAGGCACAACTCCAGTGGTGCGTATGTCGACGACCCTACAACAGGAGCATTTGGAATAAGTTGCAACAAATTTTGTTAGAGTGCGAAGCGATGGGATGAGTCAGAACGCTTCAGGAAAACTTTTGTCATGCTACTTCTTAACTGCTTAAAGAGTAAAATATCAGTCACGGAGATTATAAGAAAAATGACACCTTTTTCAAATCCAGAAGTCCGCTTGAAATCCTGAAAACGTAAATCTGGGATAAAAGCCACTGAGCTTCGTGATCAATGAGTACAAAACAGGAATAATTTAGGGCCTAATTTAATTAGAATAATAGAAAAAGCAAATTGATTTAAATTCATTCTTTTCTCTTTTTCTGTCTGTTGTTCTCACGTCAGCTATTTTGGTTCACACGGGCGTGTATAAGCCGTCCGAGAAGAACAAGCAACGACACAGCTATTGCCATCGTGATTTCCTTGGAGCCGCTGACTTAGTCCTGCCCATGTACGAGATGACAGATTGTCTGGAGGCCATCCGACTAATACTGGAGCAAAACAATTTCCATCCGAGCGAGGTCAAGTCGACTGGTGCAAAATGAACGCGCATTTGGGTGAGGGTGTGTGTGTGTGCGTGTGTGTGATACCGCACGCCCTTTCGGCCATTTCGCGCAATGTAGTGGCGCCCTCGGGGTGTTAAATTCGCAGCGCAGGGCTGCATCTGATCCATTATATCCATTCCGTTTACATTCACTGAGCACAGTCCTCTAAATGTTTTTCGCCCTTATATGGTAAACCAATCCAGACTTTCAGCGTTCTCCTCTGTATCTCATTTTGAAGGACAAAACACGGGCGTTTATCATTGTTAGGTATTACAACTAAACATAAATTACACTTTTGTGAACAAGTAGAACTTCTTTTAAATAAATATGATAATACAATTTGTACCCATTGTTTTTTATCTGATTATTACGTGTAGTTCATGCCATGAGATTCCCTTGTTTCAATCACTAAACCCGAGAAGTATTTTCATTCCGGTTTTATTGTACAATCCAATGTAGATTCCAAATCTGATGAATGAATGTGTTATACACGAATTGAATACAGCTGCAATCGCCTCGGTGAGAAAGCACTGCAACCGAATTAAACAAAATACAAATGTCATATTGGCTCTGGCTTAGACGTTTGAGGTGAAACAAGCAAATAACTAGGATTATAAGCCCGAAGCACGTGGCAGCAGATTCCGCTCAAGTGATATACGGAAAAAATGTGCCCGTTCACCGGAGACTGATAGAGAGAATCAGACCTTCTGTTAAGTTATTCCTCTCTGAGTGCTGTGTGTGTGTGCAGTACCCAGGGGCTAGGCGTTCGATCACAAACACTTTTTTTGTGCTAACCCATTGTTGTTCGAGCGAATGGTTCACACAATGCAAACTCATTGATAATGCCAATCCAGTTCAAAGGAGAACGAAGACCAACCAGATAAATGAATGGTAATAAATGTGCCGATGAGGAGGAAACGTTTTTCTGTTAAGAATGAAGAAGNGAAGTATATTTTTACTTAACCAGATGAAATCCGTGGATTATGAGAATCGTTCCGCAGAAACATCACTTCGGTATTTGTTCGAGTTCACGATGCGAGTGTTTCATAACAGGTTCGTTGACTTTCGTTGACTGCATTTTGCCTCTAGATTAGAGTAAAAATCCACTCAGAACTGAGGATGAACAGTAGGTTTATCCTGTACCACTGCAGCTTTAAAATGTCTGTTCCACACTGTAATATACCTGTACTAAGTGGATATTCGGAGTTGTGATACTTTTCACTCATAGATGACTACATCGAAAATTTGTAAGTCAGAACTCTTATACCATGTTTTACCCTTAACGGACAGGCTGCGCGTTGGATCGGTTATGCAACTACATTCTGAGGGCTGAAACTATTAAATGTTTTCACCGGTCAGAACATCAGTTTGATACTTCTTTCATTGGTTGATAAGGAATTAGAAACAAAAGTGCGCAAGCCATTTGATCAGTATTATGATATTGAGTTCCGAAGTAATTAGCAAATGAAACTATGTTGATCACCGCTGGATACACCAATCTCCCCCCCCCCCCGCCGGTTGCCATTCATCATCACGCCCGACAACTGCTACCTATTTAATATCAGAACTGATAAAAATAGGATCAGTCGAGACTTAATTTGTCAAGCAAAATGTTTCTGTAATCCATATTTTCACGTGGCAGTCCGGATTTGGAATGATTCAAACGGAATCATCAAACTGAAAACTCGTGCTGCGATGAACGAGATGTGAGACCCGCAATAAGCTCCACAAAATGGAATGGGGTTTGTTTTGGGTACGAAAAACGAGGAAAGGTCTGATCAGTTGCCCATTAGTAGGGTGGATAGTATGCTTGTTTTTTGCCTACGAGTTCGCAGGTTCGTTTCTTAGTTGAACAGATAGATTGACACCGCTGAACAGATCTAACCAGATCAAAACAGTTGTCCGGTGCTTCCTTGTATACCAATTGACGCTTCCTTTGCTCTGTACACGTCAAAATTTATCATATGATGTTACTTGAAGAACTTTTTGTTGGTTTATATTTTTCATAAAACTGCGACCTCATCATTTCTTAAAAATTAATACTATTCGAACTACTGTAGAGAAAGCCTGTAAATCAAAATGCAAGAAACACCGTATCACGGAATTTACTCAAGTCCTCGTATCTCACATTCCACAGTGATTAAAATGCATTTGACGAGAAAACTTCAACGAGAAAACGCATGAGGGGAAATTAGTGGATGGACTGTACACGGTATTTTAGCGAAAAGTAACTTAACTAGATACATTCCGTTAAGTAGGAACATGTTCTCCATGACAGTCTAGAAACAATAGCTTGCCTTCAGTGATCCGTAACGGTGCCAATAGAATATTATTTATGATAAATTATCAAATGATCGAACTAATTGGAAATTCGTGATCCACTGGTGTTTGGTCCCAGACAGTTATGTTTGGACTGAGTTTATTAAACATAAATTCATGAAATGTGAAGACTGTTCAATACGTGACTGTCGTTGAACTGTTGATTTTGAAAGGAGTTGTCCTTGTTTCCTGACCGGTCTGAATGGCGATGCGATCGAGCACGGCCGTAATCCCAAACTGATACATTTATTAGTGACCATAGAATAGAACGGTAATTACAAGTCGTATATTGTTTTGAACACCCACTTAGGTCGCCATTTAATTATACATGCGTGCACAGTCTGTTGTGTCTCGCTAAATCTTTCCATCGTCACCGAAACCAGACTGTAATTCACGTTCCCCCAGCGACTGTCATACGCTGGTTGGACAGCAGCTGTTTATGAAGCGAAATCGATACGTATAAGGCGACTATGTGACAGAATGGAGTAGAGCGGAGCCGGGTGGGTGATACGGGATTGTCAATGTAACCCCTGGTGAACGACAATGATAACCACGCTTCATAGGTTCTATCAATTGGAGTGTGACAGACTGGTAAATATGCCTTATGAAGATAATTCTTTTATCATTTCACTGGACGCGAATGACAACTGAAGCGATTCGACTAGGAAACAAAAAGTAAAACACATGTAAGTAAAAACAGACACTTAAGTGAAAATGGAAGTTTGAAGCACGTCAAGCACGTGACCCGTGTATGGTACAGTCAGTGCTATTTGATGGGAATACAGAAAAAAGGGCGTTCTCTAAACCATGTTGAGTGGTAAGGCTTACAGAAACCTAAATACAATCATTAGTAAAGAACAAAAATTAAATTAACGAGTGGCTTTCGTCAAACTGTTTCACCATCAGTAAACGCCTAAGTCCAGATAGGTGCATATCATCCTTGCATACAAAGTACACCCTCCAAGCCTAGAGTCTATGGCTACAATAAGAACGTAAGATATTGGGGTATCCATAAAGGAGTGCTATGAAAATGGCGCAAGGATTGCGTTACCTCAGGTACGGGAAGAGATTACATTCCTTGGGACTATACTCCAAGCAGTGTCACAGAATTTGATTGATTTGGGTGTATCAAATATCAATAAACCCAAACCATGTCGTTTGCTGCACATGTTGTCACCCAGTATACACCTTACGGGACACCGCTTCAAGTTAGTGATTAAAGTGGGTCTACCGGAATGCCAGCATCAATCTTTTTCAGTTAATGTGTAACAATTGCAACGCCCTTCAGTCTCACGTCATTGCTGCGCCAAGAGTTGAATCTTTTAAGCGGGGATTTGTTGAAACCCCGGCACACCTCATATTGCTACGCTACTAATAAGGTATATTAAGTGGAGAACACATAATCCGTTATCTCCTACCTGGAACTACGTTTTGACTCAATTTCTCTATGCAAATGAACAATAAACTTCAGGAAGAAGGCCGCAACTATATAAAGGCTGCCTGAGGAAACACGGAAGCGGGGATGATGGGCGGTGATGACAGAGCTTCAATTCAGTACTACCAGGTCGCTATTTTGACGAACTTAACTACTCGGCTGTTGCCAACGTTTATCGTAATTTTCCGAGGAAGTATTCAACTTCGTAAACATCCTTTGGAGACAAGAGGAGCATCAGCTTGCAAGTAATTTCTACACTAAAACTTAAACTTTGACTTAGGTTCTATAGAACCAGTCGCAAAGGAATGAGGCTATCAGTTTAATGCACTCTGCTAGGTAATATCAATGTTAGTCGAAGAAGACAGAGTAGGAGATTCTTTAGGTATTTCTGAAAAGCCCACACTGATTCCATCGGTCTCATCTCCCCACAAAGACCATTTGCACTCACTTGTGTTCTACTCCTAAGCAAGTTACCGCCTCCCATATGTTGAATTGATAACTACTAAGGATTTTTTATTGCCGGTTGTGTGCACCATGGTGATTTCTGATGGGCCATGCCTTGTTTACAAAATTATTTCGCAAATGCACTTTGCTGCGTTTACTGTATTCAAATTTAGCCTCTACTAAGCTGTAAACCAGGTCTTCAACCGTTTTTTCGTTGCCGTGGGAGTTTTGCTAACTGAGCTATTTGTTTTTTCACGTGGGATTCTCCCGGCAATCCACACAACCTCTTGAGTAAAAAAATTCTATTTTTTATTTGATACGACTAAGGCGAAAACAGAAAATAGCCTGGCGAAGACCAATAGCTCTACCAAGAATATCCCCACATATCAAAACCCGGACTCTGAACATATAAGCTAACCTAATTTTGATGAGGTGTTTATGTGTATAGAGACGCACCGCCATAAATAAACCTTTTCCAAATAACAGATAACCTTCCCAGGCATTTAGTCCGGAAACAAACTAGTAATATTATGTGCAAAACTTGATCGTTGAAATCGTACTGAACATGTCATTTTTGACCGAAATTCATGGCATCCCTCCCAAGTTTGCATTTCCTTCAAAACTTGTTTTCTATGTCAACAACCGCCGCATCTCCATTCGGGTTGCTGGGATCATGTCTCGTTCCGTGCCTGTGAGTGGTGGTGTCCCCCAAGGTTCTGACATTTTCCCTTCACTGTTTCTGATGCACATGAATGACATTCTTTCTTCAACTTCAAATTTTATTCATACCTTCATCGATGAT